GGCGGACTATGTGGCTCCGCCCCCGGGGCCGGTTCGGCCACCTAAGCTGTCGGGGGCTCCCGCTGGGCCCGGAGAAGGGGCGGCCCAGTGCAGACGCTTCACGTCACGAAGTGCTGCAGTCAGGACCCTCGAGGCTGCCCTTCAGCCCCTCACCCTCCACAGCCCGTCCCACCCCCGTCATTTTGCACCTTTCTCTGGCTAGGCATCTCCAAATGTTTGATTCTAGGGATGCCGAGATGGGCACACGAGAGCACGCTGCCTGGAAAAGCAAATCTCCCTAATTCGTTTGCATTTCTACAGCTCGTTTTATAGCTTCACTTCCTTTTGTGGAGTATTGCAAAACTGGGGGGGGAAGGTCGTTTTCTTTATTTTTCCTAATCACAGTCTTGAGGGATAAAGTTGACTGTGCCTTCTTTAGCATTTGATTAAAGAAACTAAGATTTAGGCATTTCTTCTTTTCTTTTCTCTTCTGGTGCAGAAGAGGACTAGCAAACCAAAGCTTAACGAGGTTTAGAATAGCCGTGTTAATTTTTCACTTTTCACTCGCGCTATTGTCGATAGCACTTTGCACCCAGCACCAACACTGCTGCAGAAGTATTTCGTTGCAGAATAGGCTACATCAACACAGGTTCTGTGCCTGAGCGCTAAAGGACAGTGCAGGTGTGTGGGGGTCTGTACGTACGTGATGTACGTGTGTGCGTGTGTGTGTGTGTGTGTGCGGCCCAACAAACAACCCCGAGAGGTGCATCAAGATTAGAAAGAAGCCCACACACCAGCACTTGCTTTGGAAATTTCCTAAAGCTCTGAGAGTTAGTAAATCACTAGTATCTGAAAATCGTCCTAGCCGAGGCTCCTTCGCCGGTGCCCTCCCCGCCGCCTAAAACAGGTGTCGCGGTGTCCCGTGCAGCGGCCTCTGTCCGGCGCGGACGTCGGAGGTGGTGAAATGCACAGAGGACACGCGGCGCCTCTTTCGTGGGCCCCACGTGTGCAGACCGAACCCGGGGCCTGCGCGTGTGCGCGCGCTCGCGTGCGCTGTGTGCGGGCGGCCCGGGGGCGCTCGACGAGGCCTGCGGGCGGGCGTGCGCGCGTGTGAGTGTGTGTTCGTGCGGGGGGCCGCGCCGTGTGCTCACGCGCTCCAGGCTGCGCCCGAGCTCAGCTGCGGGGTGGGAGGAGAGGGTAGGCAAGTGCAGGGGGCGGGCGGCGGGAGGAGGGTTTTCGAACTAAT